GCATGGTGGCACATGCCTGTAGTCCCAGCTACTTGGGAGGCTGAGGCAGAAGGATTGCTTCAGCCCAGGAGTTTGAGGTTGCTGTGAGCTAGGCTGACGCCACAGCACTCACTCTAGCCCAGGCAACAAAAGTGAGACTCTGTCTCAAAAAAAAAAAGAACCAAAAAGAGAAATCAAAGCCAAAAGAAAAATGTAAAGAAAATTACAAGAATTCAGGGGAAATACAAGGTTAAAGCCAATCTTTCACAAACCTGGTTGTACACCAGAATCATCTAGAGTTGCTTTTAAAAATGTAGATTCCCAAGTCCTATTCTAGAGCAGAGGTAGGGCCACAGAATCTATATTTTAACAAACTCACCAAGTGATTTTGAGCCACTGGAGGCTGGTCTGAAACAAAGCTAAACCCACCAGCTTAACACTAGCTTCCTGACCTCATCCTGCCACCACATTTCATGTCATCCACTTTTCAACTACTGCCCAAACTTTTGTGCCACCATTTGAAATTGCCACTACTCTTCTGAGTGCAGACAGGAAGAATCACACTAGTACTGCTATTGAGTACCTCTCTCCAGAGTACATACAATTTTGCACCACGTTGTGGAGGCCAAATACACATCAAGTGGTATTTGATATTTTATAGAAAGAGATGCGGTTTGTTTTATGCTCTCTCTCTAAAACCTACCTGAAGAACCTAATGAATGAACAAGGTTAGAGTCAGATGATTGTTCCACCCAAAAAGTCTTTATGGAAATCAAAAAGTTTTCTTTCTGTCGTACTGGTAGACACATAGAAGGTACTCCACATATTCCTGTTTGTCAGGATGCCATGTATCCTAAGCATTTATTTTTAACAACCAATTATTTCCAAATTTTCTGATAACGTTAGAATGTCTGACACATTCTTTGAAAAATGTATGCTTGAACAAGTATGACATTTATTTACAGAGTAGCAACAGTCTTTAAATATGCCAATAAAACAATTACGTATTTCAATCACCAATATCCTATGCAGTTTCTCTTGGATAAAACTAAGTGCTGCAAGAAGGGAGACAATTATGTGAATTAAAGGGTATTTTCTGCAGTTGGGACTCTAAATAAATACCTACAACAGAGAAAATACATGGCATGTATACAGAACAGGAACAGGAACAGGAACAGAGAAGTTCAGAGACTGTTAGGGAGTCATGAGGAACAGCACTGGAAAGGTAAAAGGACAAATTGCAGAAGGCCTGTAAGAAAGAGAAAGAAATCTGTTGCACAAATGAGCTGGACTACAGAGGCATTCCAGGAATGGGATGAAAGGAAAGGATATCTCAAAAAGGCATACTTTAGCTTATATTTTTTATTTTTTAAAAGTTTTTTTAATACTACATAGTCACTGAAAAATTCATACAAAAGAAAACTAAAGTCTACCAGCTGACCCCCATCCCTCATTCTGTTCAGTGTATATCCTCAGATATATTTCAGAGATATTTAAACTACATGTATTTATATTTAGAGAAAATAATGTCACAAGTATACTTAATGTTCTGTAACCTCTTTTCAATTAAAAACATGGCCATCTTTCCACATCCGTATATCAGAAACACCTTTCAAAGAACTGGCTCAAATAGAAAAAATAGCAGTCAGGAATGATGCCAAAGAAATGAGTAATTTCAAAGTGGAAGAAAGGATTACATTTTTGCAGCAGACATCAGAACAAAGGATGCACATTTATGATTTACAAGCATGGAGCTGAGAAGGAATGACCTAAGTGTAGAAAGAAAAAAATAGGTAACAAATAGTTATTGGACACATACTGTATACCTAGATTGCAACAGGAACCAGAAGATTAAGAAACAAAAGTACTATAGTGAAAAGAGAACAAATTCTAATGAACAAATAATTAATTGCAAGTGTGAAAAGCTCTGCAAAAGATAAAAAAAACAAGGAAAAAAATAGAAGAGACCAATCCAGTGTTAACAGTTAGAAGGGTCAGGAAACTTACTTGAGGAAGTGATGTTTAAGTGAAGACTTTAAGGGGATATGCAACTACCTGGCTGAGATAGGTGGGGTGAGCATGCTAAGCAGAGGAAACAGATGGCATGTGACAGGCCAAAGAAGCATAGTGCTTTTACAAAACTGAAAGTGTGGCTAAAGTACACAAGAAATGGTGAAGAGACAAGGCCAGAGAAGGCAGAATCTAAAAAAAAAAAAAAAAAAAGGTTATTGATAGTTTTGGAGAGAACAATTTTGATGTGATCATCATGGCTGGAAATAGATTTCTGGAAAGGTAGTGGTGAAGAGGTTGGGCTAACTAAGGAGGAAAAATCCCTGTTCTGTTACTTACCAACTATATGAACTTAGGCAACTTACTTAACCTTTAAATCTGTGTAACCTGTAAATAAGAGATATGATAATAGTATTTGCTTCACAGGGCTACTTGAGGAGTAATACATGTAAAGTATTTCATTTAGGGTCTGACACAGAAAACTGTGTGTGTGTGTGTGTGTGTGTGTGTGTGTGTGCATGGGCACGTGGCTGGCTGGTCAGGAGATAAAAAGGAGACTGGAAGTTCACAGACTAGAAGCAAAAATGTTAACAGCTGCAATCTCTAAATTTTTATGTTTGATTTTTTAAGGTGACTTTTATGTTTTTTATACCCTTCTGTAGCTTCCAAGTATTTAGCAATAAGAATACACTATTTCAACAATTAAGAAAAAGTTAATTTTAAATCATGTCTTTTTTTTAAAAGCAAAGATTTCTCTTAGATGCAGAATCTACCTACGTTCGGCTGAAAAGCAGATGGCAGAATCCACAGAGGAAAGAGAAGGAAAGGTAAACTATTTTTATCAAGAAAGGGGACCTGTGGAAAGCACAGGTGCAAGGACAGTAGAAAATAACAGGCTCCAGGACATGGTGGAAGTGGTCAATTTGGATGGCATACACATCGTCCTAAGAGAATGAAGATGATGAATGAAATTCCAGCTTACTCCTATTCTCTCAGGCTGTACCTCAACAGGATCCAACTGGATCCTGTGATCCCATATCCTGTCAAGGGGCCTGGCATGGAGTATGGAGTAGACACACAAATGCTTGCCAAATGAATTTCTTTCCAATTTCTGGCACAATTATATTTATAACTTAGGAAGTAGTCTGCTCCTTGAACAAAGTAAAGGATACCTTCAGCCATCTGTGCCACAAATTACAGTTCCAACCTGGGTATAATTTTAATAGCTACCAGATATCAGAACAAACCTATCCTGATTATACTTGCTATAGAATCCATGAACTTACACTTTAGCCCAACTTCCCCTCCTGTTCTTCAGACTAACTAAATCTAGTGAAAACACACAACCAATCAAAATCACGTGCCCCTTTCTCTCCTCTTCCTTGTAAATATCTGAAGCAAAACAGTAGGTATAGAAGAAATGGTCTGGGATATGGAGTCAGAGAAATCTAAATTTGGCTGGGCACGGTAGCTCACACTTGTAATCCTAGCACTCTGGGAGGCTGAGGCAGGCGGATTGTTTGAGCTCAGGAGTTCAAGACCAGCCTGGGCAAGAGCGAGACCCCGTCTCTACCAAAAATAGAAAGAAATTAATTGGACAGCTAAAAATATATAGAAAAAAAATTAGCCGGGCATGGTGGCACATGCCTGTAGTCCCAGCTACTTGGGAGGCTGAGGCAGTAGGATCGCTTGAGCCCAGGAGTTTGAGGTTGCTGTGAGCTACGCTGACGCCACGGCACTCACTCTAGCCCGGGCAACAAAGTAAGACTCTGTCTCAAAAAAAAAAAAAAAAAAAAAAAAAAAAAATCTAAATTTAAGTCCAGCTCTGCCATGGTTGTATGTTGTTGGATAAGCCAGTCACCCTGTAAGCCTTATTTCTCCATAAAAGTGGGACTAAGGATACCTTCCTTATCTCACAGGATTGGTGTGAGGGCCTCAGTGAGAACCTAAGTGATAAGAGCTCTGCAAACAGAACATGGTACAACCCAAAGTATCCTGGTCTCTGATGGTACTGCTCCATGGGTTCTCTACTTTCAGTAGTATAGACAATCTCCTCACTCCCCAAACTCTCGCCTATTTATCAACCAACAGCACATGTATGCAAGATGTCTGGATGGAGTTAACCCATAACCTGGGGTTAAAAGAAGGCCTTTTCTCCATGTAAGTGTCATCAGCCTGGATGAGAAGTATCATTAACTCTGGATCGATCAGAACCACACTCTACACAGTTGAGTTAGCCCTCTCACACAAGAAGTTTCTTTCTAGTAGACTCTGTAGTAGGCAGGACACGGGGTAAGGCTTTGGGAGTACAGGTTTCTAAGACAAAGACTAATGACATTACAAATCATTAGTGGGGTCCCACCTAATTGATAAACTTAAATCATTTTATCCAAAAGTCTCTTCCTTTTCCTCTTCCCAACCCCTTTTAGGTATTTTTTTAAACAGCTTTGTTTAGATACAATTTGCATACCATAAAATTCATCTGTTGTAAACATACAATTCAATGACTTTTATTCATTTATTAAGTTACACCATAATCACCAAAATCCAATTTTAAAACATTTCCATCACCCCCAAAACTCCCTTTGTGCCTGTTTCCAATCAGTCTCCACTCTGTCAGCCCCAGACAACCACTCACTGATCTGCTGTCTCTATACATTTGTCTTTTCTAGACATTTCATATAGATGGAATCATACAGTATATACTTTTTTGAGTTTGGCTTCTTCCATTTAGCATAATGATTTTTAGGTTTATCCTTTCACTTAGCATAATGATTTTTAGGTTTATCCATCTTGTAGTATGTATCAGTAATCAATTCCTGTTTATTGTTGAAGAGAATTCCATTATATGTATATTCCACATTTTGTTTATCCATTCACCAGCTGATGGACATTTGGATTATTTCCAGGTTTTGGCTATTATGACTACTACTACTATAAACTTTTGCATATAGTCTTTGTATGGATCTATGTTTTTATTTCTCTTGGATAGATACTCAGGAGTGGAACTGCCAGGATCATATGGTAAGTTTTACTTTTTAATAACCTGCCAAATTCATTGTTCCAAAGTGACTGTATCATTTTACATTCCCATAGCAACACGCAAGCTTTCTAGTTTCTACACACCCTCACCAACACTTTTTAGGACACTTTTATATTATTTTTGACCATAGCCATTCCAGACGGTGTACGGTGGACAGTTACAGCAATCTTAACTTGCATTCCCCTAATTATATTGAGCGCTTTTTCACGGGATGAAATGTCTGTTCGTGCTTTTTGTCGTATGTTTTCGAATTTTTTAATTTGCTTTTATTGTGGTAAAATATATGTAAAATTTACCATTTAGCCATTTTTAAGTGTACAACTCAGTGGCATTAAATTCACAATGTTATGCAACCATCACCACTATCCATTTCCAGAACTTTTTTATAATCATAAACAAAAGCTCTGTTCCTATTCAGTAGTAACTACTTTTCCCCTACTTCCCCCAACAACCTCTATTTTATTATCTGTGAATTTTGTCTATTCTAGGTATTTCATATAAGTGGAATCATATGATATTATTTGTCCATTTCTAAAAAAATGAATTGTCTTCTCGAGTTATAAGAATTCTTTATATATTTTGGATATAACTCCTTAGTCAGATATTTGCTTTACAAATATTTTCCCAATCTGTAGCTTTTTTCATTTTCTTGATGATGTCTTTTGAAGTGCAGAAGTTTTACATTTTTAATGAAGCCAATTAATATTTTTTTTATGGCTTGTGCCATTGGTATCATGTCTAAGAGCTCTTTGCTGTTACCAAGGTGACAAAGATAAATATTTTGTAGTTTTATCTCTTACATTTAGGTGTATGATGCACTCTGAATTAATTTTTGTGTCTAGTGTAAAATAAAGGTCTGGGTTTTTTGGTTTTGTTTTTTCTTTTTTTTCTTTTTTTTGCATACAGATACTCAATTTTCCTGGCATCATTTGTGGAAAAAACTATCATTTCCCCCACTGAACCGTCTTGGCACCTTTGTCAAAAATCAATTTGACTATATACAAAAGGATATATTACTGAACTCTCAATACAGTTCCAGTGTCTATTCTTACACCAATATCACACTGTCTTGATTACTGTGACTTTATAGTAATTTTTAAAATTATGTAGTGATTTATCTCCAACTTTGTTCTTATTCAAAATTGTGTTGGCTATTTTAAGTACTTTGCATTTCCATATAAATTTTAATATTAACTTGTCAATTTCTACAAAAAAAGTTTGCTGGGATTTTTTTTATAGAGGCACTGAATCAATAATCAATTTGGGGAGAACTGCCATCTTAACAATATTTAGACTTATTAATAATTTTAATCCATGAACATGGAATGTTTCTGTATTTGGATCTTTTAAAATTTCTCTGAATATATCATAGCATTTAGTATACAAATCTTGTACTTCTGTTAAATTTATCTCTATTTCATTCTTTTGATGCAATCATGAATGGAATTGTTTTATTACATTCATTTTTGGATTGTTGTTAGTATATAAAATATAATTAATATTTGTATATTAATCTGGTATCCTGTGACTTTGCTAAATTCACTTAATTCAATTTGGTTTTCTTTGGATTCCTTAGGATTATATACAGCAACAGTCCCCAACCTTTTTGGCACAGGGACTGTTTTCATGGAAGACAATTTTTCTATGGACAGGGCCAGGTCGGGGGGAGGGGGGGTGTGCTGTATTTCAGGATGATTCAGGTGCATTACATTTATTGTACACTTTATTTCTATTATTAAATTATAATATATAATGAAATAATTATACAACTCACCATAGGTTGGGGACCCCTACTATGTAGGATTGTGTCATCTATGAATAAAGACAGTTTTAATCTTTCCTTTTCAATTTTTACTCCCTTTTTTCCCTTATTGCACTGGCTAGAACCTCTGGTACAATGTTGAAAAGAAGTGGTAAGAGGCCGGGCGCGGTGGCTCACGTCTGTAATCCTAGCACTCTGGGAGGCCGAGGCAGGTGGATTGTTTGAGCTCAGGAGTTAGAAACCAGCCTGAGCAGGAGCGAGATCCCATCTCTACTAAAAATAGAAAGAAATTAATCAGACAACTAAAAATATATAGAAAAAAAATTGGCCAGGCATG